GAGCGGTGCTCGCCAGGACAGATCGCTCCGGGCGGCAGCGGGGCGCGGGGCCGGGGACGTCGCCCGCTCCGCGCGCGGGGCTGGTTCCTCCGCTGCGCCCGGGTGCCCAGCACAGCGAGACACCCAAATCCGCCGCCCGCTTCCTCCCCGCGCAGCTCCGAGCCCCCCGGGTACCAGCACGGGGCTCCCAGGCCGCATCGCGCCAGGAGAACAAAAGCAGAGGCACAAAGGGTCAAATACAACAGTCTCCATATACGTACGTATCTCGCCATGGCCCGATGTCCTAATCCCTGCTCCCAGTGCTCCGGCACCGTCCGCGGGGCCTCCAAGCACCAATTCAGCACGAGACACGAGCAAGGAACAATCGCTGCACCTGTGCAGGGAGCACATGTTTCCACTTATATCTAAACAAATCCTATTTATACACACACGGCTTCGAGCTACTGTCTACACTGAAAACTAAAGACAGTCTTTACATTAACGAAGGCTCAAGACCATGAGCCAGGATATATAAAGCAGGAAGGAGAGGCTGGAGCCCCGTGTAACCAGATATTCTGGAACTTTTCGCATATTAGAAATAAAAGTCACAAAAAACAAACAAGGGAAACATCTTTGCAAGTCTTTGCATGGTCATCCTTCATCTTCCTCCTTTCTCATAAGATTTAGCCCAGCTCCTAGAACTCCTCATATTCAGTTACCAAAAATAAAAAGTGCATTAAGGATGATCAAAAACGAAACTAACTGGAAGCTCTCTGGGCAGATGACAAGATGATAGTCTCAGGGAGTATTTGTTTCAATCAATTCAGCAAACGTGGAGTGAAGCAGATTCTGCAGTCAACCTTGCTTGCTAAGTATTGGACAGACAAGGAGAAGAGATGGAGCCCAAAGGATGAACAAGTCTGTGGAACCATGCAAGTTCCTGCCTCCTCTTTTGGCACTCCTAGAAGCTTTAGTTTTCTCTCCTAAGCTATTTTTATAGAAGAGATTATAGCATAATGCTGGAAAGGTGACTGTAACATGAGAAGCAGGACTGAGAAATCCAAAATTCTGTGATTTTCAAGAGAACTGCTCTCCCTACCTATACAGGGCAGCACATGAGTACATTTTAGCACATTAGAACTGAGTTAGTACTAAGTTTTCAGAGGGGTAAAGCAAATAACCCTGCAAATAAGCAAATAACCCTGCAAATAAGCTGG